TGAGAGCCTCAGGGCCGATCAGGCTGATGCAGGGGCTTCCCTGCGGCCCATCGACAGGGCTGTGGCGTATGCTGACCGGTAGGTTTGGTTCAGATGGACAACGTAGGGTTCACGAGTGGGCTGGCGTGCCTCAGTTACGTCCCTCGAGGTCGGAGCTGACTTCCCTTTGCCGTTTATTTGCGTTTCTCTGTGCCTGTGCAGAGGTCTGAGTTTCCCCAGCTGGCCCCTCCTCTTTCAAGCATCAGCATCCCCATGGGGTTGGAGGCGGAGACGCCCAGGGTCAGCTCTTCTTGAAGGCGTCCCTGAGCCCAACGTGCCTGTGCTCCACGGCTGCCCGACAGGAGCGTGGGGCCACCCCGCCTTCATTGCGGCTCATTTGCTCTGCTTAACTGGTGAGCTCAGTTATTAGTACGCAAGGGAGCTACTTCGACATGTTTCTCCTCCTCTTTCCCAAGCCCAGGGCAAAACCTTACATCAAGACCATCACGTTTCCAGCATTTTCATGTATGACATGTGGTCAACATTTCAAGACTGGCAAAGCATTTCCCAGCACTGGGGATAACACAGGACCTCCCGGCCCCCCAGTGACTGTCTATCCACATGCCACCTTTGTCCCGTGAGCATTGATTGCCAACTTCAATGGTCTTATTTGATTCTGTCTCTTCTGTTGTCTCCATCCCCTCGGTGGAGTGCAAGACCCGTGGAGGGAAGACCCTGAACTGCCCCCTGAGTCTCCAGACCACCCATCAGGGCTGGGCATACATACGGCAGACCCAACAATGAACGATGGAAAATGAATGGTATGGGAAACAAAGCAGTAAGGTATCACGACATTGGTTGGTAAAGGCTAAAAACCAACACTGCCTCAAGGCATTGGAATATCTGAAATGCGGGATGTATTATGACTGTATGCCAGAAAATGAAGAGAAACATCTAAATAAATATTCCAACTAACAAGAGTTCAGTAAGATGGCTGGAGATAAAAAATATTAAAATTAGGAGCATTCTTATTTCTTGCCAAGTAACTGATATAATAGACAGCCCCCTTCACTCTCCCTCCCACCCCCCCAAAAAAGATCAGCTTCACGTGTCACCAACAATTATGAACAGAATGGATCTACACGATACATCTAAATGAAGTGCTGGAACTTTCCTCAGTTATGTATACTAAGTTTGAATAAATTGAGCAAGACTTGTGTTCTATGACAAAAAACTTGAACATAGTGAAGATGTGAGTTCCACCAAGTTAACGGATAGGTTAAACGCAGTGCCAGTTAAAGCCACAGTGGCATTAGTGTTGGGGGGAAGGGGAAGGCCTCACATCACTCTGAAGTTTATTGGAAAAAAATAAATGAGTGGCAATAGTCAAGAACGACAATAAAATGAACGAGTAATATTACTACCAGATACAGACTGAGTCATGAACCTAAGAGACTGTGGTAAACCCACACATGATAACGTGATGTGAAAACAGGAGATCAACTGAATAGAGTCTCAAGTCCAGAAACAGTGAAACTGATTAAATGGGTTAGTTGTACAATAAAGGTGACACACACAATTACGAGAAAACAATTCAACACAGAAAGGACGATTAGTTATTTGTTTGAATAAAAAGTCTGATTAGATTCCTGTTGCACATAATTGACCCAAACAGATTGAAGGTGGATTAAAGTCAAAATATTTTTAAGAAACAGACAATAATAAAATTGTGAAACTCAGAAATACATATATGTGAATTATGATGTTTTCAGGATTATTAAAAGGCCTTCTAAATATCTAGAGTAGAAACCACAGAAGTAAAGGACTTACGATCTGATTCTGTGTATACATTTTGATTATATATTAAAAGGGGGAAAACCTCTACCTCCAAATAAGACCATAAAATTTTAAAAAAGCAAATAATGAACTGGGAAAACAGCTGCAGAGTGTATTATAAAGTGGTAATATCCTTAATATATGAAGAGTTCTTACAGATCAATAAAAAAGATAAACACCTAGTACAAAAGTGGGAAAAAACAACATCTAAACAATTTCAATGTAAGAAATACCTGTGACAATAACCATGAGATGGCCAACCTTAGTCCTACCTGAAGGAGTCCCGAATAAAGCAGGAGACATTTTTATTGCCTTTCAGATTAGTATAGATCCTAAAAATGATAATAGCAATGCCACGAGTGTGAGCGGGTGAAATGGGTCCTCATTTTATAGATGGAAGGGTATTTGCATAACAAAACTTTTCTAGAAATTAATTTGGAAATGTATATCAAGAATCTCATGACTGTATCCACGGACCGAATCACTTCACTTCTGGACATTTATTCTAAGACAATAAGTGTTATGCACAAGGATTTAGGTACGTGCAAGTGTCACGTCTGTGCAAAATGAAAAAGTTACCAGAAGGGAAGGCACAAAACACTGATCTGCTCCAATAACACTGAGATAAGAAAACAAATAAAAAGGAAAAGCATCAAAAGAAACAACCATGCCCAGTTACCTTAGAGCTCTAGAACGAAACAGCAAAATTCAAACGCATTGAGAAAGGAGTATACGTTAGGTAGCGTGTTAAGTTCTTGGGTGAAGAGCTCTAAAATAGTTACAACAATACTAGTTTTGGGCCAGAAGTCCACCACCTAAGTGTAACATCAATTTACTTCCACTTGAATTTGCTGTGTTCATGAGAGAGCACCTGTGGAGCAGGGAATGGAGGGCCACCAGCCGATGATGTCACCTGCCATGCTGAGACGAAGGTGTCACATCCGTGAGCGCTGCCACGACCACGAGGCACTTTCTTTCCCCAAAGTGGTGCTGTGTCCTTGCAGATGTCATACCCCCCTTCCCTCATCCCCACTTGGGATCCAAAGAAGAGGGAAAATCAAGCAGGCTCCCTTGAAGAGGAATTCACCGGGCGGGGGGCCGGAGTGGCTCAGCCCGTTAAGTGTCTGACTCTTGATTTGGGGTCAAGTCATGATCTCCCGGTTTGGGAGTGCGAGCCCCACGTCCGGCTCTGCGCTGACAGCGTGGGAGCCTGCTTGAGATTCTTTCTCCCCCCGTCTCTGTCCTCCCAGGCTCATGTGCTTTCTCTCCCTCCCTCTCTAGATAAATAAACATTAAGAAAATTTAAAAAAAAAAAGAGGAATTAACTTGGCTTAGGGTTGAAAGGATGAGCTGCAACCAATCCGACGTGTGTGCACGGAAAAGGGATTTCCGCATCGCCCCAAGCCCTCCCGCCCACCCAATGCAGGGGCGTGAAAGAGAAAGAAATGGGGGCACTGAAAAACACTCCCTTCGCCCAGGCCCACGACATAACCTACCGCATGGGACACGATATGGTTAAACAGCATTTCGCATTTTCTGTTTAACAAACGTTACATTTTTTCCTTAGGAAAATGAGCAGCAGGTTGGCACCAAAGGAAACAAGGCTCAAGATGGAGACATTCAAACTGCAAACCTTACATATCCACCACTTCTTTGCATCACTGAGGCTCCTCCCTCATCCTAATGCCTGGCAAATTCGCTTCCTTTCTTTACACCCAGCACAGGCATTTCTTTCTACCCTGCTTCGTGTAGAAGTTCTGCAGACCAGGGACTCAGTAACCACAGCACGCACCATTCTGGCACGGAACGGGCACTCAGTAAATTAATACAAAGTGTATTTAGAATCTTTTTGGAATAAATTAATACAAAGTGATGAAGGCGTTAGCTTTTCATTCAATATAGACATTTTCCCCCTCCTCAGGCGCTTTTCTCTCTTCTGATCCCAGCATGAGCACACCACCCCGGACAGGGAAATTTCATGTACGTCCCGGAAGGTCAGCAGGTCACGAGAGCGCATGTCACCACTCTAGAATGAACTGATGCTTCCCTCAATGGCAAGGCCAGTTTTATTTTGATTAGGAATCATGGCTGATGTTTGTATTGTACTTTATGAGTTTGCCCAAACTTTCATATGTGTTATCTTACCTGCCATCACGTCTCTGTGATGTAGGCAGGCCAGGCAAGATCGACCTGATGTGGTGGTAAAACGTGGCGGAGGGAGCTGTCCAGCACACCACCCCTGGAATCATGGAGTGAAGCCCAAGCAAGGGTCCCAGTTATGGCCCCTTTCTTTCACCATTCAGCATCATTTATGCCGCAGAGCCGGGGGGTCAGCATTATCCCTCCTTAAAAGCACTTAACATCTCAGAAAGGGAAAAAATGCAGCATTTTTAAGAAGCAAAGACACAGGCTAGAAAGTAGCGCATAACAGTAATTTATCTTGAGAAGACTGGATGTAGGTGAGAGAGGAGAAAGGGACGTTTTGCTGGGGAAGACAAATCCGTGTGTGGAAGTGTGTCAGAAGGAGGACTCCGGCCTTCTCTCTGATAAGCAATCACTTGAAGGTGAAAGCCAGGGGGGCAGACATTTGCAAAGATTTCTTAAACGAAAACAAACCACGACATTTTGAATGGCTTGCAACTGCGCACAAAGGCCAGGAATTTCTAAACGCATCTAAATTTGCTCTCTGACCTGACCCCGAATTAAAAAGCAAATTCTCCTTTAAAAGAGAACAGAGAAAATTAAAGTAGTGTTAAAGAATCACCCAATCGTTCCCACACAAAACCGAGAGAACTCAAATTTTAGATAGGTCTAGCGGTTTCCTTGAAATCTTGCTCCAAACAGCTCTCCCACGCCACAAGTGAATTACCAACACTTGATACCTGCACAATTAATGTACCTATTTCAGAAGGCCTTCAAATCCTTGATCATATGTAAGACTTGACTTTCAATTACACAACTCTGGGAAGACCTTGTGGTTTGGTCTCTGTGGCCGTGACTCAAAATGGCACCATGTGCTGTCACAGAAACACCCACAGCAGAGAAGAAGCTGTTTCTAAGCCTTAACGTACAATGTTAATGGTTAAAATCTCACTTGACCTCCAGGGCTCCACACTGTCCCGCAACCAGTGACACCTACTGCCGTTACCACGCTGGATTCTTCAGCGTGTCCGCTGAGAGCTTACCTGAATTTGGGGAGATGTGTAAACTGCTCATGTCCTTGGACAGGCCATTGGTTTTAGGGCTGGAGATGGGCACGCAGGCCGACGTGGCTCGGGGTGGCCTCTTCCCTGGGACTTTCACAGTGGTTCTCAGAAGATCAATCTCTTTACCATGAACATTCTGCATGTAATCCTGTTCAAAATGTTAAACATCCAAGAGACATTAAAAAGAAGATCTTTCACAATCTAGGACACAAGGTTCTATCAGACCCCACGAGTTGTAATCCTATGACCCTTCCACCATGGCAAGCACTTTAAAAATAATGAGGTTTTGATCTGTCTAGTATGGTGGCATCATCGTTATACTGAAATCACAGTCTTTTTTGTCCTGAACTAACCCAGCCCCTGCAAATCCAAGGAGACACAGGAAATGCTTCCATCTGGGGGATCAGCAACCAGCTGGAGAAAACAAGTATGCATGTGAAATCATACTCTTTAAACTGCTGCTTATCAGAAGGCACACTAGGACCCCAGGCTCCTCCTCTAAGTTTCAGGTAAAATTTCAGGGAGTAGGGAACTATTTTATAACAACTGTTCTGCCTCAGATGGCAACACCACTGAGCCTCTAGATAAGAATGAAGCGGTCTGCTGGGAACTCAGGTAGAAACTCCTTAAGGGGTGCCTGGGTCGCTTAGTCGGTTAAGCGTCGACTTTCGCTTAGGTCATGATCTCGCCGTTCATGGGTTCGAGCCCCGCGTCGGGCTCTGTGCTGACTGCCAGCTCAGAGCCTGGTGTCTGTTTCAGTCTGTGACTCCCTCTCTCTCTGACCCTCCCCTGCTCACGCTGTCTCTCTCTCTCCTAGAAATAAATAAAATATTAAAAACAAACAAAAAAAAGAAACTCCGTAAGTAAAAGGCCAAGCATTTTACTCATAAGGGCCAGGAAAATGTCTGAGGGCATCGGTAGTATGGTGTTGAGAAACATGGAGCTCGTGGATGGGTACGTGATAGCTGGCTGTTGAAAAAGAAAGAACGTTATTTGGTACTCGAGCCCTGCGTTTCTCCGAGTGGTTCACTGTACCCAGAGAAAGCATCTTGCTGTGCTCTTCGTGCTAGAGATGAAGGACTCACAGTTAACAGGGAGCCACAGGGAGCCCTGGGTAGACAGGGATGGCCTCTGTGGAGGTCACTGAACAACAAGTCCGTGTGGAGTAAAATAATATCTAAGAGTTGGTTGCCAGCTGGGGGGAGAGGAGAGGCCACTGAGGGTCAGGGTGAGGGGCCTATTGGTGAAGTAGGAATTACTGATCCTTCAAAATGCCTTTTTAGGGCAAAGTGCCCCCTGGCCTCTGGAGACATAGTGAATCGACCTCATGCATTAAGAAAGGGCATATTCTAAAACATTCTTGGGTAAATAACATGTCAAGTGTTTTAAGACTAAGCATGAAGTGAAACAAACACATTCCTTCCTTGGCAGAATCTTGGTAGAATTCCTTTTAGAATATAAAGGGGAAAAGCCAATACATTTGTAGTTAGGATGAGCAATGAGGTTCTTGTCAACGTAATTTTAGAAGAACGACCCAACAAACCAGTGTGTGGGCCACCAGGGACCCAGGGGGGCTGGAAAAGTGAGTTGTTGCCTTGTAACTGCCAACCCACAGGGCCAAGTGATGCAGAGAGAACCAGATAAAGTTCTAGAAGCATAGTACAACGGACAGAAGCCCCAGCCTGTGGGACGAGGAAAGGCAGCCGAAGTCTATCAAGGGAGGTGGAGGGGCCTGGAGAGAGAGGGTCCCTGGCTTCTGGGAAGTAGGCGGCGGCTCCTTAAATGGGAGACAGTGCTTGCTAGCCAGCAGGTGAAGGGGCTGAGGAGCAGTCACTGGCTCATCCAACAGCAGGATGGTTGCGAACAGAAGCAACGATACAAAAAAGGAACACAGAAGCACAAGATTCCAGCACAGAGAAGGAACCCATGCGCAGCTCCTCAGGACAGAGAGCACACAAGAGGTGTGCTCCCTCCACAGTCTGCAGGGGGGAGGGTTGGCCTTGAGTGTTAAACCAGATTCCTCACCCCACAACACAAGCACTCATGGGGCGCCTGGGTGGCTTAGTCGGTTAAGCATCCGACTCTTGATTTCGGCTCAGGTCACGGTCTCATAGTTCGTGAGATTGAGCCCCTCGTCGGGTTCTGTGCTGGCATCACAGAGTCTGCTTGGGATTCCCTCTCTCTGCTTTCCCCCCTGCTCGCTCTCTCTCTCTCTCTAAGTAAATAAATAAACAACAAAAAGGGGAGGGGAGCCTATGTGGCTTAGTTGGTTGAGCGTCCAACTTTGTCTCGGGTCATGATCTCAGTTTGTGAGTTCAAGCCCCACACTGGGCTTGCTGGTGTCAGTCTACTAGCGTGGAGCCCGCTTCAGGTCCTCTGTCCCCCCTCTCTGCCTCTCCCTCACTCGCACTCTCTCAAAAGTAAACATTAAAATAAAACAAAATAAAAAAAAAAATCCCTATTCTGCCACACTTTCAAAAAAAAAAAAAGAAAAATTGTTAAAAAAAAAACAACAGCACTTAGAGGGGAGCCATGTGGGAGCCAACCCAGACTCAGGAAAGGGGGTGTGGGAATTCTCAGCAGAAGAGGAAGGGCAGAAAGGAAAAGGGAAGGCGTGGCCATGGTGGGGGGAGGGATACATTCTGATGGAGAAACACAGAACTCCAGAAGGTCTGAAAAGCAGCAGCCCAGAAGGAAAAGATGCCAGAGGGTCCCTAGTAACTTCCTAAGGATAGAACTCAAGTGGCCAATTTCTTGGTGGGGAACAAACGCCCACAGGCTAATAAGCAAGGCTCGAGCCAGGAGGAACCTGGGACTGAAGGTGGTTGGAGAAAGCTGCACAAAGCGGGGCAAATATAGACCAGCCCTTCAGAGGCAATGGGGAGGCTGGGCCTTCGCCAGCACTTGATAAACCAACCATCCAGAGAGCTCGAGTGGCATCCATGAGCCTCCCGTGAGCCACGAAGGCCAGGCGCAGAGGCCCTGACGCACGCCGACCCCACAGGACTGGCTGCCTGGAGTCAGTCTCCGCCATCCCACCGACTGAAGACTCCAATGAAGTCAAGATGCTTGGGTAACACCCCTAAATATAATCAACTGTGAAAGAGTGTGGTTTTGAAAGGATATGGACCAAAGGCAGAAAGACAGTTGCTATCAAATCCGAGTGAAGGAGAAGACAGCCCCAGACCGGAAGCCTCACGACTGAGCTCAAGGTGCTGAGAACAGGAAACAAAAAGCACCGATGAAGTGATCCTTGGTTAGTGTAGGGCAAAGCGTCAAGGTCATTAAAAAAAATAAGGTCATTCTTAGACATCTTTACTTCCGTTAACATCCACCGAAAATGGGCAAACCCAGGCTTTAGAACCAAAGTGAAGGCTCATACAGAAGGAATTTATTCTCGTATACTTGCTCTTTCAAAAATGTCAACTTGCTATAAGTTTCTTCTTTAATGCCAATTCTTAACAAATTAAAATACAATAACAGGAGTGTAATTGAGCATTTATTGCTTATGGGCTCTAAAATGAGACTAATCAGATAGTGACTAAGCCTCAGCATGGGCTCTTTTAATAGGCATGTTTTAACATACAATAACCAGGATATTTTATTTAAAATTATTATAGAAATGTACCAAGAGTCTGCTCTTTGGGTCTGAACGCAGCAAGGGAATGCATTTATCTTTGGCTCAGCATGCGCCGGGAATCTGTTTCCTCGCTGGAGTTAGGAGCTGAAACTTCAGAGAACTAGATCTTAAAAAAAAAAAACAAAAAACAAAACAAAAAAAACACCCCGGAATATAAACTTGGCAATTCTTGTGTTGCAAGCCACTGTGGGATTTTTTTTTTTTTTTAACAGACCTTACGAAGTGCATTTCCTAATCCACGAGAGCCCTTCGACGTGGTGCTTCAGAAACAGGTGGAAGGCAAGGAGGCCGGGTATGTGGCTGCTGGGTCCCCCAAGAGAAACGTCGCTGAGGTCCCTGTGTTTGAAAGAACCCGTCCCTTTTCATGTCTCCCCAGCTTGGTACTTGAGGAATTAAAGCCGGACCCAGTACACAACGTGGCCTCCTCAGAAGTGGGACGCGCAGCCCGACGGGGGCCTGAGGTAGGGACCTCGCTGGGTAAAATAAAGACAGCAAGCTGGATTTTGATATGCAAATGCTACAGATACTATCCTTCTTGTGCTCCTCGTAGAAAATGCTGATCGATGATAAAAGGGGAAAAAAACCCTTTAACAAGGCATGAGGGTAATTCAAAGCCAAGTACTTTTAAACAGCACTTAACAAGTCCCCGGGGCCCACTCAAGAGCCAGGCCCCTCAGAGGTGCCGTCTCCAGCCCCTCAACAGCTTGAAAAAGTAGTAATTGCAAACCTATTTGCATTTTTCTTCTCAAGTTGGCCACGCGCTCCTCGTGCGGGTTATTTTTTCCGAGCAGGCGCTGGAGCAAAGGGACCCGTTCCGGAACGTTCCGATAGCCTGGCAGCCCCCGCAGCCCCGCTCCCACACCTTTGCCATCCCTTGTTTTTCACCTCTCTCTCCTAATTATGTTGCATCTATTGCCGTACACTTAATTAGCTGCATTAATGTGATTTCTTTTCACATAGTCAAGCAATTAAGAGCTATGATTGAGTTTCATTCAATTAGCCTCAACAAACATGCTAATTGATGTCCCAGATGCAAATGAGGTGCAATGAGAGAAACCTGCGAGCGACCGGGAGCCGTGTCAGAGCCTCTGCGTTCGGCTTGCTGACGAGGCACAGGTTACCGCGGCTCCCAGCTTCTGGGGGGCCGCGGAGGCACCAGTCCCTCGGTGCGTCAGCCTCTCCGGGTACGGAGAATTCATTCGATTTGCCGCTGTGCGATCTGGTCCTAAAAATCTCACGGGTTACACCCGGAGGCCATCAACTCGGTAACACCGTGCTCCTGCAATGGGGAGTAAAGCCTCATCCAAACACCACGAGAGGCTCCTGAAAGAACAGAGAGGAGTTCTCCCCAAAACTGCACGGGGGAAGGTGTGTGCGTCGGGTCTTGGTGGCCTCGGAGCCCTCTGTGTGCATGATGGCCCGTACGGTTCTCAGTAAATGGTGAGTTCATCTTAGTCAGCTCTGGGGCATCTGGCACTCGGAGTTAAGCTCAAAATACAGCCATCCAT